ATATTATTACTCTGGATTCACTTTGTACCCCTCAGCAGCAGCGCAGGTGACGCTGTAAAACTACACTTCCCATGAAGCACCTGGAAGCACAACAAACATTCCAGTCAGAGAAGCCGGCATCTTAAATCTCAGCTGCGACATGAGGTATCTAAGTTAAACACATTTCTCCAAACTCCGACATTACTCGATGCTCTACAGTCCTTCGTGGCGTCGCACGTTCAGTATTTTCGCTAAATTCGCGGTTAAATCGTGAACGTGGGCTGCGGGTGCTAGCCTGCCTGCTAGCTCCAGCTAGCTAGCAAGCGAAGCACTAGTGTACTCTGAGGTTTAGCTAGCTCCGTTTGTCGCAAATTAGCGTCGTTAGCTGTAAATGTGGTTAAGGTTAACAACCCAGTGACTCACAAACACAACCAACCTAATTTACTGCATTAAACGTTGAAGTGTTTGCATGTTTTTTTGTTGCAGATTCATCTTTCAGATGTTGTTGATGGTTATGCTATGCTAACTGTATCTGTAATGCATTTAAGAGCATGTCGGTGTCTCACTCTAAAATAACAGAAGAGCCTAATTATTCTGAATGACATCTGAAGGTGCTAGCTGTCATTCATAGTAAACACTCATGTGCAGTCTTTGTATTATTGCTGCTGTCTTTAATATTTCTTAAATCACCCCAGATCTTCCAAAGTCCATGAAAAGCTGATAAAAATAAACCTTATTACAAACAAAAGCCATCACACACCGTCATACCTGAAATAATAGCATGTTTGATACATGGTGCAGCAATGAGGACCGGTTTGATGAGTTAGAATATAAAATCAGACCTATGCAGTCAAAAGAAATCAATATATGTGTTTATATCAGTTTCTTTAGCTCCATTTATACAGTGTCAAAAATCTAAATGCTTGCATACACCAGTTATTAAGATGCACCGCTTTAAACCAGAAAATATGTTGTCCGACAGAGGTGGAGGTTTGAAAACATCAGATAGTTAAAAGAACATGTGTGACATGTCATGAGAACGAATGAAATACACCCAGCTGATACAGGATTTATGTGGGGTCTTCACATGTCTACAATGTAATAATCTAAATTTAACGCCTCAAAAAGTTAAAAGAACGATACTGTAAAAGTAGATATTAAGAGAAATGTTTTGGTGACGGGCCTAGTTTTTTATGTTCATATGTGTTGTAGTTCTTTCGCAATAATACAGATATTAGCTCGTTGTAATGAAATTACAAGAAGATACAAGTTGAATGATTATCTCAGTACAGTGGCTTGGTTGTGGGAAAAATTATGAACGGCATTCCAAGGGTTATTCCCTACTTGGCCACTTCACCCCATCTTCAATTATAGGGGTGTGTAATTCTGGGACTCCATCAGATCTGTCGTACCTGAAATAGGTCTTAAATTTCATTCATTGTGATCGTAAAAAGTTTTGAAGTGCTACTGTGAAACCTGTAGAAATCCTGCAAATAGTCTTGACATTTATCACTTTTTTACAAGCTGCCTCCCCCTCCATCTGAGCAAATATAGTAATTCAGTTTGCAGGGAGCGGGCCCATTAGATAGGTAATTGCTCCACTGTCACAATACTCTGACCAAAGGACTAAACCATGGAAGCGTTGTATTTGGCAGCATTAAGTACAGTTGCTGTGTGGCTTTTGGAGGTGGGAGAAGTAATATGTGAAACAGTGGGTTCTCGTGAGTGCATGCTCGTCCTCTGCGTACCTTTTTTGTCTAACGTTGCATGCTGTTTGCCAAGTGGATGCACAGAAGGATGTTGCATGAATTCAGAGAGGTGGTTGCTATTCGATTTGTACGCAGCAGAGTCGAGCAGTTGTGCAATACATCCCTTATGTTAAATTATTGACTCTCTCGCTCCACTTACTCGTAATAAATAATAGATCACTGTCTGAGGATGTTACCATCTATAAAAGGGTTCCAACTCATCCTGAATTTTAAGAAAGTGAATATTACAAATCGCTTTTTTGCATTGAGAGAGTAAATTCTATCAATGGGCTTACAAAGTAGAACAGCAGTGGAATCAGTGCATATGATGGGACTGGATGTTTGCAGCTCTCAAAGCTGAGAGGACTAGTGATGAGGGGGCGATACACTGAGTCTATTCACTGTCAGAGGCATAGCTTCAAAGAGAGAGACAGTACATCATCTGTAAGGTGTGGGTGGAGCTCCGGCCTCTGGCTGTCTGCTCTCACTTCATCTGTTCTCTGTGGAGATTTTTCATCAGACTCAGCAGTAGGTAGGATTATTTATCGTTTGATTGCCGTGTTTTCTGAGTGGTGTGCTACTTTAACTTGGAGTGATCAGCTTATTATATTTTTTTCCCCCTATTTAGCTTCAGTCTTTGCTAAATGAGTAAGACGAAGTGACACTGAAAGGACGAAAGGAGGGGGGGTACTCACCAAACTTGCTCAGCTGACAGGTGATCCCCCCCTATCACCAGTTCCCTTTTTGTTTCCTCCATTTAAGCCTGCAGTGTTATTTGCACTGAGTTGTGTTTTCTCGTCTGTGAGTTATTCTCGCTTGGTGTGGTTAAAATCTGGCCTACCTTTCCATGGGCAATAATTTAATATTGCTTTTCACAACCTGTCCATGTTATTATATGGTTAAAAGCACTACTTCTAAGAAGTATTAAAATGAATGATTTATTATTTTTAGTCACTCAGTTACTTATATATTAAATATATATAAAAAATGACTATTGCTTGTTTCTAGATTTACAGAAGTCTTTGCCTTTTTACTTATGATTCATAATGCATCAATTCCTAAATATTTTAACAATTTGGTGTTGTTTTTAACATGAGATTACCATAGTTAATAAAGTTAATTTAAAACAAACCATTAGTTGCAATAAAAGATAATAAAGCTACACTACTCTAAAGTCAGCAAACAATATCTCCTACAGAGGAGCAAAACAATCCAGTGAGTATCCAATGTGGTTTAATAAGTGGTTCATCTCTCTTGTAGGTATTGTTTCCTGTAGCCAGCTATGGCACCAGGGGATGTGGTGCCAGACCATGCCAAGCAACTGAAGCCCAAGGAGAAGCGCCCTGGAAACAAGGCATCGAAAGCAGACTGTGAGCCCGATGGCTCCTTTGTCTTCGAGGCTCACGAGGCTTGGAAGGACTTCCATAACTCCCTCAGGCACTTCTATGAAGTGGGGGAGCTCTGCGATGTCACGCTGAAGGTGAGTCACCCCGTGTGGACTCAAGTGACTGGTTTGTCTTGTTTTTTTGTCACAGCTGATATTCTTTTTAGTATATTATCACTAATGTCAGGTTGAAGGTTGTGATTTTATAAATAATCGTATCTTATAGTTGTAAGCTTGTTAACTATCTCTAAGTAGCTGCAAAAATCTGTATGTTTTATGTGTTTTTTTTAGGTTGGCAGTAGGTTGATACCATGCCACAAGCTAGTGCTGGCTTGTGTTATCCCTTACTTCCGGTATGTAAAATTTTTCTCCTTTGTTTCTATATTGAATTCTATGAGTCATTTTGATAAGAAAGTCGTTTTGTCTTAGTTGCGGACTCTTGATTTTCCATAATGATTTAAACATCACACGCTGGATATGCTTTTAGCTTTAGCTATGCTTTTAGCTATATATATTTGATTTGAGCCTGTATTTCACCTTGCTCTAGTCTAAGTGGATATTTCTTCTTGCAGGGCCATGTTCCTGTCGGAGATGTCTGAGGCCAAACAGAATCTGATAGAGATCAAGGACTTTGATGGCGATGCCATCCAGGACCTGGTGCATTTTGCCTACTCCTCTAAGCTCACGTTAACAGTGGATAATGTCCAGCCACTGCTTTATGCTGCCTGCATCCTTCAGGTAAACACACATTTAATCGATCAACAAGCAGTGTGAGCTTAGTGGTCTCCTTATTCTACATGAATGAAGGAGTTCTGCCCTATCAGTGACTATGTAAACATGGACAGCATTAGTCCCACTGTTGACCTGAATAAGATTTATTTTGATGATGATGATGTTTACATGAGTTGCTAAAAGAATATTCTATCCATATTCCTGTCTGTCTGTCTGATTATGACTATTTTCATAAATATCTGAATATTAGGTTCCATGTTAATGTATGTCCAATGATAGTAAAGTGATTTTATTTAGCTTTTTCAAATGTTACAAGATTTTGTCCATACAACAACATTTACACACAGAGGGATTTCCATTACTTCCTGACTCTGTTAGGTGGAGTTGGTGGCGAGAGCCTGCTGTGAGTACATGAAGGCCCATTTCCACCCCACCAACTGCCTGGCAGTTCGGACTTTTGCCGAGAGCCACAATCGCGTGGACCTGATGGACATGGCCGACCGCTACGCCTGCGAGCATTTCACCGAGGTAGTGGAGTGTGAGGACTTCACATGTGTGTCTCCCCAGCACTTGCGCACATTATTGTCCTCGAGTGAGCTCAATATCCACTCAGAGACACAGGTGTATAACGCCGCAGTGAAATGGCTGAAAGCAAACCCACAGCACCACGAGGCCTGGCTGGACCAGATCATGTCTCAGGTTAGAGGCGGCATCACTTGGATCAGGAGGATATGGTTTGGTTGGGCTGAATGTTAACTTATAAATGTTGTCTCTCTGCATGTTTTGGATTTGTATTTGGAAACACATACTATGTTATAAACCCTTTTACTCATTAACTGAACGCTAAGCTACATAACTATGCATGAAATTAGTGTCGTATAAACCGTGTGTTCAAAGCTTTATGTGACCTTTTTTACAATCACAGTACATTATATGATGGTCCCCTTTAGGTGCGCCTCCCCCTGCTGCCTGTCGACTTCCTGACTGGAACTGTGGCGAAGGACGAGATGATCAAAGGTAACTTGAGTTGTCGTGACCTGATGGATGAAGCCAGGAACTACCACCTCCACCTCAGCAACAAGGTGGTGCCTGACTTTGAGTATTCAATCCACACCGTACCCCGGAAACATACTGCAGGTACTTTTATGGGTGTGTCTTTGAATATAACTACTGATTTGATGGTATTTGTAGCAACATTCAGCACTTTGTTATTATCAAAGAAAAAAAAAACACAACTATCTTCATGAAACCATACATCTGTCTGGATTGAGTTTTAACAGGCTTAAACTCATCATCTTTTTACCTCTGCTGTTCTGTGGACACAAATTGTAACGTGTTCTCTTTTTTATAAAAATTTTTTCTACCTTTCCTTTAGGGGTTTTGTTCTGTGTGGGTGGCCGGGGTGGCTCTGGTGATCCATTTCGCAGCATCGAGTGCTACTCCATCACTAAGAACAGCTGGTTTTTCGGCCCTGAAATGAACAGCAGACGACGTCATGTGGGTGTAATATCTGTCGGAGGTAAGAAGGGTTTTTATATATATTTAGCACAACAAGACAGAGGATGGAAAGGTGAACAATTAATTGAAAAAAAAATATAGACAGATTTAATTGACTGCTTATATAAATGTAAGTAATGCAGATATTTAGGGGCTTGCAGAGTCAGTGACTAGTTCACTGACTTAAATACATATTTATTTATAAAATAATAATAATTTGAGCCCTCAATCTTACTGCAAACATGTCTTATTTGTATTTTATTATTTAGCATTTATCTTCCTTGTAGTTTTTATTGCATTTTATGTATTCTTTGTATTTTAATTGCTGAATTTTAATGAGTCAATTTGTTTTTATCCTGTTTCTTGTTTTTATCCTAACTTATAAAGCACGTTTAAACCTTTAAAAAAAAAAGTTGCATACAATTAAAGTATATTTATCATTATTATTATTATTGTTGTTGTTGCTTTTATTGTTATTTTATACTAATAAACATTATTTTTAATTGTGGATCTGTTCACACGATCATAAGACTCATCTACATATCTGTTTATTTATTCTTGTAGGAAAGGTCTATGCTGTTGGAGGCCATGATGGTAACGAGCACTTAGGCAACATGGAGATGTTCGACCCCCTCACCAACAAATGGATGATGAAAGCCTCGATGAACACTAAGAGGTACATGATGCTACAATATAATGATTGTGAATTTAGATTTTCCCAAACCATTCCAGACTGAATGGGTGTGAGAACAGCAGTCTCAGATTGTATTGGGTATTAGAAAAACAAAGCATAAGTATCTGCCTGAGAAAGGATGTATGTTTTGCAGGAGGGGTATTGCCCTGGCAGCTCTCGGTGGTCCCATCTACGCTATAGGAGGCCTGGACGACAACTCCTGCTTCAACGACGTGGAGCGTTACGACATTGAAAGTGACTGCTGGAGCGCCGTGGCCCCGATGAACACACCCAGAGGAGGAGTGGGATCTGTGGCGTTGGGGGTAAGACAGAAGAGGATAAATGATGACTAATGTTTAGTACGGTATCTGCACAGTGCTCTATATCCTCTTCTTGCCAGAGTTTTGTGTATGCGGTGGGAGGCAACGACGGCGTGGCGTCACTGTCCAGCGTGGAGCGCTTTAACCCTCACCTCAACAAATGGACAGAGGTCAGCGAGATGGGCCAGCGACGGGCTGGGAATGGAGTCAGCAAACTGAATGGCTGCCTCTATGTTGTGGGTGAGGGAAATAAATACACTAAACAGAGGACGTTTGTCAGTTTAATTTCCAAACACCAGTAATTATCTTCTCCTCTGATTTTGAGTGGAGAGATTACATTTGTTGCAGCCATACACAGTAGCTGTAACATGTTGTTTGTTGTTTTTACACCTGTGTCATATACCTTAGTGCACTCTGTACAATGATACACACAAATGTGGCAAAAGTTCACATTTTGTGATGTTTCTGGTCACTGATTCACAAAGTTGAAGGATGAGATATTTTTATTGTGCCACTTGAATCTGAAGAGTCATTCAAGGTTCATTTGAATGTCTGTTGTGACCTTTTGTCTTGTGAATGACTCTGCTTGAATATAGAAGCATGAAATCCTCTTGTGTGCCTTCTCTGAAAGTGACACCATAATCCTACTCACATTTAAGAAATCTTTTCCCCTGAACGTGACATTTTTCCGGTCATTCGTATCCTTAATAATTTCCGTGAAGTAATATGATACTTGTCATTTTCCTGTTTGAACACCCTTTACCTTTTTTCACAAAGATAAATGTTATTTAAATGTTTTGTCATTTTCTGAAGGTGGTTTTGATGACAACTCCCCCCTGAGCTCCGTAGAGAGATTTGACCCTCGAATGCACCGCTGGGAGTATGTGTCTGAGCTGACAACCCCTCGCGGTGGCGTAGGGGTCGCTTCTGTCATGGGAAGGGTGTTCGCAGTCGGGGGCCACAACGGGAACATCTACCTGAACACAGTGGAGGCGTTTGAGCCTCGAATGAACAGGTGAGGAGGCGATGGGGGAGTGATGTGATGTGTTGTTCATTGTGTGATAATTAAAGAGCTCTTTTTAATAGTAAGAACCTTTTTCAGTACAAAAACACATAAAGTAATTTGATAAGGATGGCCTGTTCAGTTCAAATAAATTCAAATACTTAATTTGTCCGTCAAGGAAAGTTAAATCTAACACTTGAATAATTACAATGCTTTAATTTAAATTAGAGTTATAAGAGTTCTGTTTAAGATGGTTCATATGTCTTCTTCTTGTAATATTGATTTGATTTGTGTGTGTGTGCCGTTCAGATGGGAGCTGGTGGGTTCAGTGTCTCACTGCCGTGCCGGAGCCGGGGTGGCCGTCTGCTCGTCTCACGTCAGCAAGATCAGGGACGTCGGCCAGGGCTCCAGCAACGTGGTCAACTGCATGTGACCGCCACTCCGCTCATTACCAGGTGACTGAATTGCCCGGTCGCCAACAGATCTGATCACTGCACAGGCAACACAACACAAAAAGCACACAGAGCGATTTCGCCCTGCAACGTTATTAATGTCAACACTCTGAGCTTCAGCCTCAAACTGATGAAGGCTGATGTTCAGTTTGCACTCTGACCGAGGAATATAAGAGAGATTTCACGCCTGACAAATCTTCTCTGACACATTCAAGACATTATTCTCGACCTGTGCTAGTGTTATTTGCAATCAGTGATGTAGTATTTTGTACTGTATTTTCTTTTGTTTTACTTTCTCGACATAGTTTTGACTTTTAAAGAAAAGGGAAAATAGAAGCTGAGCCTCATATTTACTACTAACCTTTCGAGAGTGAGAGGTGAGCTTGGATTCAGAACTACTAGGTTTCTTAACCGTGCACATAATAAATAATGGTCCGTGTAGTGGGCCAGTATGAAAAGATTTCAAATGTTTACTGCCTAAGATTGTCTCTGGATTTCTCTTTGGCTCTGCTTTTTTGGTTTCTTTATTCTCAGAGAAAGAATTTAGACACATTCATACTGGATTCAACACCTCGTTTGCAGTGCAGCGTGTGGAATTCTAACACTTACATCAGCAGTCAAGTAGGATGAAGTAGTCAAATACATTTCCAAGATTCCTACGTTCGTTTCCCAGGGTAAGTGAAAACATCCTTCATGGTGAATCTGACTCTAAAGTACTGTTTCTATCCGCAGTTCCAGCTGCTGTAAGCTGGATCACAGCAGCTGGAATGTGACTGTAAATGTGTTTAAACAATCATTTGAGGCTGATTGGGACAAATCAGTCACTGGGCAGAAGGTCCGGGGAATTTAACTGATGCAAGTGCCAAACACAAAAATATGCGTCAGCCGCTTTTACCTCGTCCTCAGGTTTGAGAAACGTTTGACAGCTAAAAAGTTGAGTGAAGGACAGATCTGAGCAATACGGTGCACGTCCCCACTTCTTTTTCAGTTTACATTATTGTGTAGAAATGTATTCAGAGTGACTGCAGATTTTCAAATTTGCGTTGGACGATAGCTGGACTGTCAGTAATCTTAGTCAGAGTTTTCAGATGTGTTTGAGATTCCGATGAGGTTTGTCTCTGCAGATGGTTCTGTTATATTTTAATATATGGACATTTTTGTATTATAAAATGGGTGTATCTTTGGTATTATTCTTTATGACACTATCTAATCCATTGCTGTGCACTATTTTCCTAGAATAGATATGAAGTCTGAGTATATTTTTGTCCTAAATGGAGAATTTCATGTAATTCATGTTATGAGTTTGAAGATGCTTATTTATCACTCACACCTATTTCGGTCATATCGAAGAAAAACGTCATAATTTCTAGCAACACTTGTTTTTTCAGGATAGGCTGAGTGATGACTATAAAACAGAAATTCTATATACGGTTTATACTAGAGGTATAGATATAATTGCACAATTTGTGTCCTATCATTATTAATACTATCAATAATTTTTACTCCAAAACTGAAGTTGTTGCCAACCTTGTTCCCAAATGAGACCGAGTCTTTTGTAAACTTTACTGTTCTTTGTGTTGTTCTTACTCCCTTTGGCTGCTTTCTTCTTGTGCTTTTTATTCACATGGTATTGGAATAAATTGGTACAATAAAGTTATGTGTAAAGTTTATAACTGGGATTCATCTTCTTTGCCTGTAACAATAACAATCTTCCTTCCAGGACTGAAAACCCTTCAGCGGTCGAGTTTGTGCAGCTTTATAAAACTTAAAGTACACTCTGAGAGCCTGTAACTCTGATCGGCTACTTTATCACCATATTTCATGTACAGAATTTCCTTGATGGTGATCTCTCTGTGAAAATTCACCATCAAAACAAACAGTTTGTGTGAGATGAGGTGTCTTTTTTTCACAAGTTGTAAAATTCTACTTTTCCTAACATTAGACTGAGTTATACAACCAATATGAAAAATAGAATAAATGATCATTTGATTTAAAGTTTATGATAATTGTTTTTTAACGTCCTATTAAACTGAGTTAAAAAGTAACTGAGGAGGAGGCTCGACAGTATAAACTTTATTGACAGTTGACATGTGGTTGTTCTGAACTTCTGGACTTTGAGGTTTCACTGTATTTACTCTCAGCAGTTTTTCATTAATTCATTATTAGCTCCACACGCTTTCACATATTGTTTACATACACTGACATGTACCCTGACATAGTGACGCTTGTATTTATATGTAATGTGCCATATCAGTTCTCTGGCCTTTACCACACAACTTGCATATAATGTGGACATAGACATTTATTTATATAGAAGTTTTATTTATACTCTAAGACATAAGCAAATTTAAAGTGCTTTGAAATGTATTCAGCCATGAGTAACGTGGAAGAAAAGAATCACTAAGTGCAATGAAAGGATAAATTATGGTATATTTCTTTTTAAATATGAACATTACAACATTTTTATCTTAGAAAATCTCTCCATTTTACATATTTTTGAATAACACTTATTATTAAGATTATTATCAGTGAGCTAACTGTTTTAATGTTTGATCCTCAGTTTTGCATATGGTGGGATAGGAATAACCGACTTTGTTTTCAGTCACTGATGTTTGATAACAAACGGCAGCAGGTTATAGAAAATTAGTCAAGAGGTCAAAATGTTGGTCATCTGTGTTTTACTGCTTTCAGTCTTTGGACCCTGATCAGATGCTGAAAAGAGACAAACCAAAGAGAAGATGCTCAGAGGTCTGATGACTTGGAGCTTGAACACATCACACACACACACACACACACACACACACACACACACA